ATGAATCATGTATTTTGAAAGTAGGAAGGAGCTGATGACTGATTGGATGGGGGTGATATTAAAATGACTCTTGGGTTTCTGGTGGGAGTGGGGGGGACATGTAAGGAAGATGGAAGAAGCAGATTTGTGGGCAAGGGTGTAGTTTTGGGACATCTGAACTCAGGACGTCTCTGGTCCTCAAAGTGGAGATATTGCAGAGATAGTTGGGTATGTAGTTCTGTGGTAACGTGCCTTAATTTTCCTATCATTTGAATCCTTTCTAGTGATATTCTTTCAGCTGTGTCTAAAGGCACCCTTCTGATAGTTCAGTTAAATAGGTAGGACTGATTACAGTAGGCAGATTTCATTGCTAAAATAAAACCTGACTGTTCATAGTTGATGAGCCTCTATATTATATGAATAGAGTGAACAGAGTGATATAGATGGTTTCCAGGCAACTGGTCACTTCATGTAGTATCAAAATTAATTAAATTTTAAAAAAATCTTTTGAAGTTATAATACAATTATGTCATTTTCACCTTCCTTTTACTCATTCCAAACCCTCCTACACATTTCCTCCATTGCTCTTTCAAATTTATGGCCTTTTAAAAATTGATACATATGTATGTGTGTGTGTAGCATATATATGTTCATATGTTATGTGTATGTATTCCCAAACGTAGAAATACAACCTGCTTAGTCTGTATACTGTTACTTGTATGCATGTTTCCAGGGCTGGCCATTTCATATTGAATAACCAACTGGTGCGCTCTTCTTTGTGGAAGATTATTTCTCCTGATCTCCGCGTTCCTTGGTCACCTGTACTTTTATGTATGTGTTTTGTCTGCAGGTATGTCTGCACACCACCTGTGTGCCTGGTGCCAGAAGAGGTCAAAACAGGGTGTCGGATCCCCAGGGACTAGAGTTACAGAAGGTTGTGAGTTGTCTTGTGAATGCTAGGAACTGAAGCCAGGTCCTTTGCAAGAGCAGCATGTGCTGGTAAGTGCTGAGCCACCTTTCCAGCTTCAAAGCCAACTCTTACCAAAATGCTTTAATCCTGCTGAGGATATTCTTCAAGCAATAGAAGGGTCTATCCTGGCACATGCTAGTTATGATTAAAAACACCAAGCTCGTGCATCTTGTGTAACAGTGGGTTCTTCTTGCTGTTTGATCCTGTTCATTCTAGTGCCAATGGGATTGCTGCACTTAAATCTGAACAAAGGGTCGTCCAACACCATCTGTAGATTGGATCTAGCAGATTAAAACTGTTTCCTTGACTGCAGGCCATCTTGTCCTGGAAAAAGTGACCCCAGCCAAAGCACCAAATCAGTTTTGATGTTTGGTAGTGTTGGAGGTTGACTCTAGGGCCTCCGGCATGCCAAGCTGCTTGTACTTTACAAATGCCTCACTCAGCATCCCAGTGTTGCCCGAAACACACTCGGAAGCCTCTGAAAAAATGGCAGTTTTGACACCCTGGACATTTAGAGGTGATATTGCTTCCCTTCCAGTGGTTTGAGAAAATCAAATAGCATCTCCAGCCACTTGAGCATTACATTCTTACATATGACTGAGGAATAAAGCTTAAAAATACCTCCCCCTTTTTTTTCTCCTAAAGAAAGTTCATGCATCAAGAAATTCCCAGGTATATTTATGCCAATGATGAAGTGAGATGATGAGGAGAGGGCCATTTGAAATCCCTAGGGGGGAAAAAACTGGTTTGTTTTAAAGACCTCAAACCCAGCCAATTAGATGTACCCTGTATTTTTTTTTTTTGTTTTTGTTTTTGTTTTTGTTTTTTCGAGACAAGGTTTCTCTGTGTAGCTTTGCGCCTTTCCTGGAACTCACTTGGTAGCATTTAAAAAATCAGTGGGCATGGCTGGGCGGTGGTGGTGCACGCCTTTAATCCAGCACTCGGAGGCAGAGCCAGGTGGATCTCTGAGTTCAAGGCCAGCCTGGGCTACAGAGCAAGATCCAGGACAGCCACCAAAACTACACAGAGAAACCCTATCTCGAAAAACAAACAACAACAACAAATCAATGGGCAGTGGTGGCACATGCATTTAATCCCAGTACTCAGGAGGCAGAGGCAGCTGGCTCTCTGTGAGTTGGAGGCCAGCCTGGTCTACACAGAAATCCCAGGACAGCCAAGGCTACACAGAGAAACCCTTGGGAAAAAAATAATTCAATGGGCAATTACTGTGTGACACAATATTTGTTACATAATTTCCATCTTTATACAGTATCTATTTCTATATCTGTGTGAAAGACAGAACTGGGATATATAGGTGTCTTAGTTAGGTTTTATATTGCTGTGAAGAGACACCATGACCACAGCAATTCTTACAAAGGAAAACATTTAATTGGGGTGGCAGCTTACAGTTCAGAGGTCCAGTCCATTATCATCATGGTTATGGTGTTCAGGCAGACATGGTGCTGGCTACACCTTGATCAGAAGGCAAGAGGAAGTGGACTGAGTATCACATTGCAGGGAGCTTAAGCAAGAGAGACCTCAAAGCTCATCCCCGCAGTGACACATTTCCTCCAACAAGGCCATACCTCCTAAAAATGCCACTCCCTTTGAGGGCCATTCTTTCAAACCACCACACTAGGGAATATTACTTTTGTTCTCCATAAACCAATGGTGTCTAGATGACTATAATTAAGAATAACAGAAATAAAGGACAATGGGCTATGTGAAGGGATGATTAATTCAAAATTATGTGTGTGGGGGGGTGTCTCTATGAAAATGCTACAGATACAATAACATTGACTGGGATTTTGAAGGATGGATAATCTCACCAGGCAGCTAAGGCTGAAGTTAGACAGTTGGAAAAGTTCAGGTTGGAGGAAATGGCACAGGAGGTGGAGTTTAAGGCCAGAGACTGGGAAGAGGGGCTCATCCCTGTAATCCCAGCATTCCTGAGGCTGAAGCAGGAATACTGCTCATAGTGTGAGGCCATGGTAGGCTATACGCAGGCCAGCCTGGGTTAGAGACCCTATCTCAAAAAAGAAAACAAAACGAGGCAGACATTTGGGCCATAATATGAGGAATCCCGAGTCTCACTCAAATTCCAGGAGCTACAGGGCTGCTCGGGAATTAAAATGGACTTTTTGGGGAAGTCACTATCTTAGATACTACGCTGTTGCTGTGAGGAGACACCATTACCTAGGCAACGTTAGGAGAAAAGCATTTAATTGGGGGCTTACTTACAATTTTAGAGGATTAGTCCAGTATCATCATGGTGGGAAGTAGACAGGCATGGCACTGGAACAGTTGCTGAGAGCTTTACATCCTGATCCAGGCAGAAAGCAGATATAGACACTGGGCCTGGTGTGGCCTTTTGAAATCTCAAAGCCAACTCCCAAGGACACAGCTCCTCCAACAAACTCACACCTCCTAATCCTTCCCAAACAGTTCCACTTGTTGGTGATTAAGCATTCAACTATATGAACCCATGGGGGCTATTCTCATTCAAACCACCACAGCCAGAGTTTTTAAAAGGTAGGCATGTCATTTAAATTCAAAGGAGTATTCTCTTGAAGCCAAAAATAAAATAAAAACCTGAGTTCATCCCAGTTGCCACCAGCCTGCAATATCTGACTTGAATACAAGGCCACCTTATTTGGCTAACATTTTGGAAAATGGAGACAAAAAATGTTTAATCATTTCTACTTAACAGTATTGACATTCCCTTTCTGTGATTTGCTTAAGTCTTATAAGATTGTATTTTAAAGACATTTCCACAATTTGACTCATATTCTTTTATTTTAAGAATTCTGTAATACAAATTCTTGTAATAAACCTTTTGTTTTAATCTTTGGGATTTTCGGATTATATACAATTACTATAAATTGACTTAAGTACCCCATGGGAAGCATTTACTTAAACGTTTCTGATGTTTTGTTGAGGCTGGCCTCAACAATCCATCCTCCTTTCTCCTGAGTTCTGGGATTACAATGTGCACCAAGTCAGCCAGGCTGAACTCTTCGGTCTCCATGCCATCTTTTGTAAACTTTTCCAAACCCAGTCTGGACACTTACTAAGCAGTCAAGTGGTTGACGACAAAAAAAGTATATAGAAATCCCATCTTCTTCTAAGAGTCTTGGAAGGAGCTGTAAAGCCCAACACCTGAATAGGAATTCTAAGAGGTTTCTAATTTTTAAATCCTGAATCACAAGCCTAACGGTGTTTCATTTTTCTTTTTATAAAATCGCCACCTCAGCACCACAAACTCAGAACCCTCGTAAAGATGATTCATGACATTTATATATCCTATTTAATACAAGGACTGGAACTCATTAAAAATACGAACCCTGGCGTCGACTTTTAGCACACTTCCCAACCCCTAGTCGGTTCAAAGCACCGTGGCCGGCTTTAGGCTCTTCTAGTAACGGAAGTAAAGCCTTAAGAGCTGGAAAGTCATTCTGAGAAAACGGAGCCTCGGCCGTCAGCGGCCTTCGCCAGCAGCCGGCGCCGCGGCGGAACCTCAATGTCACCCGGAGCAGGAGGGGACGGCGGGCGGAGGAGCGCGGCGACCAGCGCACACGCGTGGCCACCGCCCCACGCAGGCCACCGGGGCCGGAGCCGCCGACTCCTAGGGCAGCCCGGGCCACGCCGCCGCGGGGGAGGACGAACCACACCCCTCCACCCGGACCGCTCGCTGAAGCTGCTGCCGCCGCCAGCCAGCCAGCCAGCCGCAGCCGGGGAGGAGCGAGGGACTCCAGGAATCCGCGGAAGGGCGGGGCCAAGGGAAGGGGAGGTCTCTCTAGCCGCCGCCTCGAACCAGCGCTCCTTGTTCTCGATGGTACCCGCGCGACCCTCCCCGGCGCGCCACTTCCGGTTCCCTTTAAAGGCCCGCGCCGCGCGCCGGAGGAGCGTGAGACCAAGTATAAAAGGGAAGGGGAGGGCGGGACGCGCGCGCGCGGGCGTGTGTGTGTGTGTGTGTGTGTTGGGGGGGGAGGAGGGGGGTTTGAGGGGTGGGGGGTGGGGACTGGCGGTGGAAGGGGCGGAGGAGGCGCAAAGGGCGCGCTCCGGAGTCACGTGACCGGGACGCGCCGTTCTTCCGTCGGCCATTTTAGGTGGTCCGCGGCGGCGCCATTAAAGCGAAGGAGGAGGCGAGAGTGGCCGCCGCTGCTTTACTTATTCTTTTTTTCAGCGCGGCCGGGGAGAGTGCGAGTGCGCGCTGCGCGAGAGTGGGAGGCGAGGGGGGCAGGCCGGGGAGAGGCGCAGGAGCCCTTGCAGCCACGCGCGCGCCTGGCCTTGTGTGTGTGTGCCTCGCGAGGTAGAGCGGGCGCGCGGCGGCGGCGGCGGCGGCGGGGATTACTTTGCTGCTAGTTTCGGTTCGCGGCAGCGGCGGGTGTCGTCTCGGCGGCGGCGGCGGCGGCAGTAGCACGATGTCGGAGGAGCAGTTCGGAGGGGACGGGGCGGCGGCGGCGGCGGCAACGGCGGCGGTAGGCGGCTCGGCGGGCGAGCAGGAGGGAGCCATGGTGGCGGCGGCGCAGGGGGCAGCGGCGGCGGCGGCGGGGAGCGGCGGCGGCGGCGGCGGCGGCTCGGCGGCCGGAGGCACCGAGGGAGGCAGCGCCGAGGCCGAGGGGGCGAAGATCGACGCTAGTAAGAACGAGGAGGATGAAGGGTGAGTAAGGGGCGGCCCCGGGCAGCCGCTCGCCAGGCCCCCTCCCCCTCCCCGCCATTAGGCCTCGCTCCCGCGCCTGCCCGCCCGCCCGCCCGCAGGCCCGAGTGCAGTCGCCTGCTCGGCCGCCCCTCTTGTACCTCGGGCTCCCCGGGGCCTGCATTTCCTCCTTCCCTGCCTGCTCGCCCCCTCCCCCATCACACACGTTTCCACCTTTAGCCGTCACCATGCTACTCCGCGGCCCGCCCTCTTTCCTCCCTCGCCATGGGTCTCCTCCCACCGACTTAGCCGCCAGGATTTTTTCCCGCCTGACGGAGCTAACCGCCCCCTCCCCCCCAATCTCTCCCGGATTTCTAACCTCTTAGGCTTAAAAATGCAAACGCACAGAAATGCTTTTTACTAGGGTTTCCAGGGTTTGTTGGGTGCTTCTTCACCACCCCGAGACGGTGCGATTATTTATATGCTCTTGCTTTCAGGAAGGTGTAGGCTGTCCACCTCTCTTTCTCCCGCGTCGGCTTCAGGCCAGTGGTTTTTAGCATTTTAAATAAGTTTCGCCATAGGACTCGTTCGTTCTGTCCACTTTACGCTGTCACTACGGCACGTTCATAATAGGCCCTGCATTTGTGCAATAGACAGACTGGGCCTGCATTTGTGCTATAGACAGATGCCCCCGGTCTCCTGCTGGCGCGTTGGTCTGGCTCCTTGGGCTCCGTTTAAGTCCTTCCTGGTCGATGGGGCCTGCACTTGACTGGAGCTCTTCTACCTCCTGCCTGCGGTTGCCCCTCCCCCACTCTGCCAAGTTACTCTCCCTGTGCACCCTTTTCGCGCCCTCAGATGCTGGGTTGCCTATTTGTACAGATTGTAATCTTTCCTTACTTATTCTGTGCAGCTTAAAATTTTCTCTTCCCGCCTTTTCAGTGCCCAGGAGCCTGTTTTGGTTTCTTCTCAGTCTCGCCCTCTTACTATTGTTGAAAGAAGCCCACTCGCCCTTTAAAATACAATAAATTCTGTGTTGTTCAATGGGTTAATTTTTCAGGATTTTTTTCAAAGCTACTTTGATTCCTCTAGTTGAAATAACTTTTATATTGCCACCAAAAGCTGCTTTTAGTATGTTAAAATGCAGTCTTTGGGAGCTGAGTATCATACAGGAGGTTAGAATGGTGGGTTCGATCTGGGTCCTTAGATTTTCATGTTCCCATTACAGATTGCTGATCTTGAGTTACCGTTTCGATACTTTTTATAATGGGGCTGTGCGTATGCAATTTTTTTTTTTTTTAACTTTAAGAAGGAAAAAGTTTTGGTTGGAAGTAAAAAAAAAGTCATTTAAACCTGGTATTAGAAAAACGTGATTTCCATTAGTGGTTAAAAATATAAGATTTGTAGGGATGTTGGGGCAACAGAGAAGTACTTGGAATATAGTTTTAAAATCTCAGTTAAGATTGACACTCGAGTCAGCTACTGGTTGTCCTGGCATTAGTGGGGAGTTGGGGTGGGAGGGGAAGTGAATTTAATAAAATAGAACTAATCTTGAGCAATAATGTGGCTTAGTTTTAGAAAGAAATAACTGTTAAATGTTTGAAGAATTCAGTTTTTTAACATTTTGGGTTTTGCTTTCTGAATTCTGTTCTTTGGACAGAGGCACCAAAATGGTTAATTGTGTAACTGGGGCAGGCTTTTTATTACTCCCCCCGAGTTTTGAAGTTACAAAGTAGCTTGCTGTCTTTGTAGTTATTTTTTGTTGAACTGACTTATAAATGAATTAGTTTTTAACCCTAACAATGTCAAAAACTAAAACTAGAATTTTGATTGGTTGCTGTACCGGTTGTTAATTCCCTAGCCATTCAAACTCCTCCCCACGACACACTGAAGCAGCGACGGCACAGCGGGAAGAATGGTAAAACTTTTACATTTTATTTCTGTCTTATAAAGATTTCAGTAGTCATAACATGCAGAGGCTCTGTAATTTAGCTGCCCATTGAGTCCCAGGAGATTTTTAGACATTAATACGGTAGGATGAGTCTTGTGCCTGGGATATAAAGCCTAAAGCCTTTCTAGATATCCTAAGTAATCTGTGGGCAAAATTGATGCCATTGCGTGGTATATGGTTTGTGGTAATGCATGATGTAATGAATGACAATTTGGCCAACATAAACTAAATGTAATTAGTAATTTTTCTTTTAAATATGGGCAAGCAGAAAAGTTACTGTACTTTCATTTAGTTTTTATTAGGTTGAAATATTTTTGTTTAAAATTCTAAGCTTAATGCTAAATATAAAGGTTACTTGATAAAAATAATTGTGTGTTGAAATGTCTTGCATGTTATACTGAAGTATTCTGTCAAGTAGACAGTTCTTTAAGTATTACTGTGCTTTATGCAAAGTCCTATTTCTCTTCACCAACAGCATAAACACTTAAAGCATTGTGTATGTACTACTCATAGGTGGGCTAAATGTGGCTTCCCACTACAGCTCTTACCAGATTTTTATTTTCAGTGTGATTGGCTGGAATGTTAATTACAGTTGGTTGACATGTGCTCACATTTGCATGACTTCCCTTTGGAGGCTGGTAGGTTGAGTATTCTTTTTCTCCCAATTCTCCCTCCTAAAATGTCAGTCTCTGCTGTTAGGGTCATATTGTAATTTTCCTGGGCCGTGTCTCACTGTTGGAGGCTAAAAAGCCATACACTGCCTTATGTCTGTCTGTATAGACCACATCCATTACTTTAGAAATGTTTAAATTTTATATGGGGTTTATTTTTTAACTATTCTCATCTACTGGTATTTGTCCAGTTTTAAGTTGGAGGTAAAGTAGACTAACAAAGACTGGGGTCTGAGTGCGACATAGTAAATGATAATGTTTGGATGAACCTTATTTTGGTGCCTGCTGGGCAGTTAGTTAACTAGGTAATAATGTCAAATTAAAATTAAACTGTAACTGTATTTGACTTCCGTTTGAACCTTAGGTAATTGTAAATTGTTTGTGGTAAGTTGAATTGACTATGTGTTAGATTTGAAGGTCATTGTCTCACTGTTAAAGAGTATCTTTGCCCCTTTGTTCAGTAGCAAATACTTAAGAGCTTTCTGGGGTCATCTTGTGGAGGAAGTTTGATAACTTCTGTCAGTGTTACAGAACATTTCAGGTGATGGCCAGTTCTCCACTGGCAGACTTTGTGGAGTAGTAGGTTTTACAAAAGCAGTTCTTCATTTGGAAGGCATTCTTACCCTCCAACACTTGTTTTGGAGACAGTCTTGCTGTGTTGCCCAGGCTTTGGAGGTTCATTCTTCAGCCTCCCAAGTCTCTTGGACTAGAAGTGTGTTGTTAGCACTATGTGGCCAGGTTCCCCTCCTTCTCTTTTCTTTCTCTAACTTGATTTGATGATTGTCCATTTATCCAACTCCATTTTGTTGCAGATGCTAAACTTTCTGAACAAAACAATGAAGATGCTTAAACATACTTTTTTGGTGTCCATGTGTGTACACCCTGTGTTTCTGTCTTCCTCACCAGTTTAGTAAGACAGTCTCCATAGTGAAGATGAGACTGGTTAGTAGACTAAAAATCACGGAAGTTAATTTCTTAAACACTTCTGTGCGTAGTTCTGTTACAATGAGGTTTTTGTCCTGAAGTGCTGTTTTTGAGGCGAGGTCTACCTGCTTAGGCTGGCCTTTACCTAATATTCATATCTCCATCTCAAGTGTTGGGGGCTGTAGGTAGATGCCATTGTTCCTGCTTTTCCTCCTAAAATATTTTTAAAGATGAATTTGTTATTTGACATGGTTATTTTTATTTTATTTTTTTGCATTTGAAAATGAATAGTTATTTTTAGAAGAGCATCCTTGTTTCAAGATAATGGGGCTTGGCAACAGTGATTCATTACAATAGTAAAATGGCTACCTGAGTTCACCTTTAAAATTGGTTTTGATGTTAGATTTGTTTTTCTGTATGTCAGTGCTATGTGAAGATCAAAGGACACTGGTGAGAGTCCTTATTCTGTGATGTGGGTCCTGGGGATTGAACTCTGGTCTCAGGCACAGCAGCAAGTGCCTTCTTTACCTGTGGAGCCATCTTGCTGGCCACTTTAATGTCTACAACTTTGAGACCCCTATTATTTTTTTATAGTATAAATTTCTCATTTTGCTTTGCATTGTGTAATCACTCTGCAATGTTTCAGTTCTTTGGGGTAGATAGTGTCTGGTGAAATGTGCATGCCATGTCGTAAGCTATGGGGACAAGTTTCAAAATATAAAGAATATTGGAAACCTAGACTACTGTAGACACTTTTACCAGATTAGATACATTAAATCATCCCGCATCCCAACCCCCGCCTCCAGAATGTGGTTGAGTGGGAAGCAGAAGAGTTCCATTGAGTTGTCAGTATAAGACTGTCCAGGGCAGTGTCAGAGTTGGTCCTGTAATCGTTAGTGTGCAAGGTCAAGTGTGTTCTTTTTAGAGATGGTTAGTTCTCTCCTGTTTGAGAAGGGGCTCACACATGTTTCTGTTTAAAATATTGGAGAATATATTAGAAACCCCAATGTTTCTGGGACAATTTGAACATTGCTTTGAAAAACAGTACTTTTAGAGGGTTCTCATGCCAAATTTATTGGCCTTTAGATTTAGTAAGATTGGGTTTACAGGCCTAGACTGTCAGTTGATGGGTCTCCACGTTTACTTCCTTTGGAACCTTTGCAGGGGTAAAATCATAGAAACTGAAGCTCCAGATTTAGGGGGAGGAGCATTCAGTGTTTTCTCTGTCCATATGATGGAGATGGAACCCAGGGCCTTGTACACATGTGGGCAGATGGTCTGTTCCTAAGCCATACTCCCATCTAGAAGTACTAGGTTCCAGTTGTCATCTGTTAAGAGAAATGTGGAATATATAGTCCTAGGATTAAACTGGATTATCATTTAAAATTTCAGTACTTTGTTTTCAAGACAGGATCTCGCTTTTTTAGCCCAGGCTGGTCTAGAAATTACAAGAATCCTCATACTCGGCCTCCCAGGATCTGAGATAATAAGCATGACATGTACCTCTTGACAAATGCTTATTTTTGAGACAACACCTTAAACTTGGACAAGTTCTTGAGCTTAAGTGACACTTTATATAAATACATACATACATATATATATATGTATATATATATAGTCTCAGTAATTTAGCCTGGGTAGTCTGAGGTATGAAAGACATCTCATGTATATCTATAGTTTGGTAGATATACGTATGTATGTACCTCAGAGTCCATTTTGCTATGACCTAAGGCCACCAGGAAAGCTAACTAATCATCTTTAGCTTTGGGTGATGTTAGAAGCCATGCCTGAGAACATAAAACAATGACTTTCCTATTTAACTTATGGCTGTATGCTTTGAATGTGCATGTTAACAAATTGAGTGATACAGAACCGGTTAGTTTGATTTCACTGTAGTTGTGCTTCAGTATTCTAGTAGATAGGACACTAAACTGGATGCAGGAAGCCTGGGATTTGTTTCTGTTACTTCCAACAGTGTGGTCTCAGGTAATAAAACACGTTTATACTTGGTTCTCTGATCTATTTGCTGGAAACAATGTTCGCCGTAGGAAGACTGACTTGACTACACAGCCTACTTTCATGTCTGTGTGTATTTATCCATTGCTCTAATAGTTGCTACTGCCAGTGATTTACTCCTGTGGAGTAAAGGTAAGCATATTTTAGTTTCTGGACTGTTAAAATAGTATGTTCATGTCTATGTACTTGAGAGTATTTTAGGGTGGGGGAAGACTTCATACTGGTGTATTTGTCCAGTAGTCATAGTGATAGCTTGAAGTATTGGATTCTAGACTCAAATACTTACATTTGGCCAACAAAATGAATGAATGAATGAATGAGCAAATAAATAAATAAATGGGTCAGGAAACCCACCTTCTATCTCCACTGTAGTCTTAAGAGGCAGGGGAAAGTGTCAGCAAACACAGTGAAAAAGGCGACCAGTAAACACATGTCTTGGAAATGAGTTAGGCTTTTCATTGCATTAAAAAGAATGTGATTCTGAAAGATGGGTGGGGTTGGAGATTTGCTTGGTGACAGAACATTTACCTACAGTCCTGGGTTAAGAAAAGGAAACATCCATTTCTGTTTAGTTAGTGTTATCTAAATCGACCTAATAGAAAACTGAATAGGTAGTGATCTCAGTTAACCCAAACCTTAACCTTTAGGTTAAGGAGACACCAGTCTTTAACTTCTAGGTAAGGGGAAGTTTACTTTCTAAGGTTGGAGTTTATTTAGAACTTTGAACAGCATGATAGAAATACTGGGTTAAGCATTTAAGGTTTATTTTTAAAAGCTGTCATGTTTAATTTAGATGTTATACCTGCCTTCCTTTCTTCCTTTTACTTTATATTTTTGACACAGGATCTTACTATGTAGCCTTTGCTGGCATGGAACTCCCATAGATCCACCTGCCTCTGCCTCCTGATTGCTAGGAAGATGTTTTCAGTCTAGTTATCTTTTTTATGGTGGTTGATTTGTGGTTCTTTTGGAGTAATGAGATTTAATGTAAAAGAGTTTAAAATCTTCCTTTGAAATGTTTGCTTTTTTTGTGTGTTAGTCTTGAATAATAGGATCCTTTTTCACACTTAGCTTTAAAATATAATAGAAAATGTAGGGAGGAAATGTCTGTTTAATAATGGGCAGATAATACTTGCATGTAGGTTTTACTGAATAAAGTTTTCTTGGCTGGCTAACTTTAATACAGTTTTAAATAGTTAAAAAGTAGTTCTCAAATGCCGTAAACCACATGAGATAATAAGTCTTGTTACTGTTAAATATGTCAGGGTGTTTTCAAGGGTAGTTTATATAGATTGTAAAGTTACTCTCTACCAAGTGGTAGTTAGTTCCCAAGTGTTAAAAATAATTTCTAAAGAA